CTGAATCTCCAGCACTTGCACAAAGAATTCTTGAAGAACAGAGTGGGTATCTTCCTTAGCACCGGTCTTCTCTTCTATGCCATAAAAGCGAAGATTCTCGCGCCGTTGATAAACCTCCGCGTACAACAATTGATCTTGTAGATCCTTGTATTTATCATCGCAGGAATTCTTAACTCTACCACCAGCGGTCTTACTTGCTTCAACAATGGTATTCAATGCTTGGAGGCCATCATGCATATCTTTAATGGCGTCCTTCGACTTCGCCTGATCTTGTTCGAACATTTCCACTCTGCCCTGTACCTTACACAGTTTCTCTTCTAGGCTAACAACCACAGCGTTAATTGACTCAAGTTTTGAATTTACTGCTTCGAGACTAGAAAGAATAAGGTCAACTTTTGCACCAAGGTCGTGAGTCATTTCTATTTGCTGCGGAATTTTGTTCCCTGAAGACGACGCTGAGTCATCGTTCAAAGGCTTATCTCTGGCCCTTTTTTCTTCTGGAGACCTCAATTCGTTGTCGGAGGTACTTGAATTGCTTCCACGCTTTTTCCTTTTAAGATTTAAATTAGCATCGGCCATAAAGCGTTAAAAAACTATTGAAATTGCGGAGAGCTTCAGAAACACGACTATCCGCCCAGCATACCTCGACCTTTCTTAACAGTGACAGTACTTTATAATAATTTCTGATAGCAATAATCAAGAAGGCAAATATAATTCTGTGGCTGTAGTGACCATAAATAATACCGGTGTATCATTTTTATCTTTATTGTTTAGGATGTTGAGTTACTTCCTGAAGGAGACTTGACACTTGTAGGTGAAAAGGGTGTGACACTCAGTGGTGGGCAAAAAGCAAGGCTCTGTCTGGCAAGGTACATGAGTAGAAATCTGATTTCTGTTTCTGCATGAAAAGAAGATGTGTAAAGATTATTTGCAATCAAACATTATTTTAATGCGCTCCACGAGCATGCCCCTTTTAACTTCTATTCAAAGATTGCTAATGCTCTAGGTATTTTGTTCTGTGGCGAATTCTCCAGAGAAGTGTTTTAAGATTTAAAAACAGAGGCATGAGTACCAAGGAATCAGCAAAGCAATGAAATTTAAATGAACTTGTTTTCATGTTTCTTGAATCTCAACTTTTGTTGTTTTTCCACTGTAGCAGCTCTAATCGCTTGCTTTGTCCATTTTATTACAGGGCAGTTTATTATAAAGCAGATATTTATATCCTTGATGACCCTCTTAGTGCCGTAGATGTGCGAGTAGGAAGAAAACTTTTTGATGCGTGAGTTATGATCTTATCTTCAAAACGGACTGCAACTACATGTAACACCATTCTCTGTTTTTTTTTTATCTTCTTAGCTGGAGACTTTGACAGGCAAAACGTTTTGCCAAACTTCTTGTGTGAAGATTGACTCAGATGTCAATCTGGAATGTTTAGACCAAATGTTTTCATATCACACAGAAACGTTGTTCAATCATGTGGTACTCACATGTGATCAGCGTGATCTAGATGCCTAAGCCTTGTGTATGTTGTGGCAATGGTATCTGATTACAACTCGAACATTTGATCAACATGATATAGGATGCTTTAATCTACATTTCTTGGCAAAACTTGTTGCCAGTTCGAGTAAAAAAGAACATTTTGCAGTTCTTATAACGCTCTTTTTGTTATTGTTTAAGGGATTTGAAGTTATACCCCTTCAGGGTTTTCACAAGTCAGGAACATCTGTACTGAATTTTTTTTTCTAATGTACGGGAAAAGTCAGAGAATTTAGTGCCTTGTCAGAGAATTCTTAGTCCAAGTCAGATAACTTTTGATAACAAGTGAGAATTGCAGAATGGCAAGAGAAAATGTATGGAATCGTCTTTCTTCAAAGCTTCATGATAGATTAAGTCAGGGGTTTGACTGGTACTGTTTTCTGCCACAGCGGGTTGTGCGTATGTGTGAAACTTATGTGTTAAACAGAAAGTGAAAAAATAAATAAATCAATAAATAAAATAGAATAAAGTTAAAAGTTAAAAAGAAACTAAACAGGCGGATTTTCAAGACTGAAATTAAAACGAGCATATGTAAATCTGCTTAATAAAAGCCAATAAGCTGAAAGGTTAAATGATACATAGTTCAACTTTGTTCTTTTTTCAGGTGTATCAATGGAATTATTCAAGAATGTCCTAGAATTCTCGTCACTCACCAACTTCAATATCTTCGCAATGCTACGGAAATTTTATATCTTGAAGAGGTGAGTGGTTCAGTTTGCTTCCTTCCTAAAGGGATACAGCTGTACATTGTATGAGCCAGAGATTCATGTAGCAATGTCCAGTCAGTGAAAGCGTGCATTAACAAACAGTATTCCCCACCAACCTGCAATTTACAGAAAGTCATGTCTGATAGCCCGGGCTTACTGGATTTTGTGGTTCTGTCCTTTGCTTGCCTGACAGGCAAGTCAAGGTTTTTGAGGTGATATTTTCAAGTCACAGAAGTACATGTATGTAAGGGAAGTTTTGTTTCAATTCAAGCACGAGTCGTACCACTTGACCCACTTGTATCTTCACGACTTGAACAAGTGGACACCCCTCCCTTGATAATGGTAACCTGTTTACATTTGTCCGTAGCGAGAATGTATTTTGTTAAGGTATGGTTGTTCTATTAAATCCAGTTTGTGTTTTACTTTCTGGAATGCTTCATGTTTATAAGAGCGACGTAAGTGTTACAGTTTTCGAGACTTGATGATCTCCAAAACACTGGCTTCGATCGATTGAAAATCGTAGAATTGTTTGGACCTGTATTTTTGAAGCTACGGGAAGCAAGG